ACAGTTTGTGACATTAAAAAAAAAAAAAAACTACATTTTAGGCTGGCATAATTGGGGATAAGAGTGCGTTGGTACATAAACAAAACTTCCGGGTAACTTTCAAAAGCCAGAAAGACAATTTCCTGGGGAGTCCCTATCCGTCTTCCAAACAACGGAAGCATCAAGTAGTTAAAGTTGGTACAATGCATGGGTGAAGTCCATGAGGCTGGCTTTAAGGACCTAAGTGTCCATTACGCTTCCCTTCCATATTTTCCTTCAACACCTTTGAAGAACCTCAAGAACCAGTACGCAGAAGATTTTGGGTGTCTCGAGAGCCCATTCTTATAGTCAACGTAAACCAAACCAAAACGCTTGGTATATCCTTGAGCCCACTCAAAGTTACCCAGTAATGACCACGCAAAGTATCCCCTTACATTTGCCCCATCCATGTCCAGGAAAAATGTGACAGTATTGGTTTCCTTTATACCTACCTTTTCAGAACATTGTTCACACACTAATATGAGTTAATTACTTTTTAACAAGGTGATAATATGTACTAGACATGTGAAAATGCTCAAGATGGAGAAACAAAATGACCAACTAAAGCTTTTCTTTGGTTAATAACAATTGAAGATATTTTGTGAAATGTGACATCTATGTCTTTCCTCGTTTGCAGTTTCCCGCTACAAATAAATAGATGAGTAGCACAAGCCACAAGTTATAAACCCACCTCCCATTTATGCAAGATTTTTGAATTTGACAGGATACTAGGGTTTATAAACCTAACACCCATGGATGGAACCCTGGGGACGCCAGTGGATTGGGTTGGGTGGGGGGCTGTGCATCTATTGGAGTATAAATGTATTTGCTGTGATAGTTACATTATAAGCAATGTGTAGGCTTTAATGTGAACCGTTGGATCATATTCCAATTGGTATTTAGTTTAGAGTGTAATGAGTCATAGCTCATGACAAGTGTAAGCATCTTACATGATAGCTTATGAATGAATGGTTGTGATTGCTTTGTAATAGAGTGAGTGAAATTGTTCTCACTCCTCTAACTGTCATATAAGCTGTAAAAGGTTTTTATGAAAAAGAGTTGAGATGGAATCGACACAGTACTAAGAAACATTTCTCTCCTTCTTCTTCGGTGTATTTTCATTGAGTTTTTAAACTTCCATTGAAACTAACACAGAAACCAAACTCTAATATGGTATCAGAGCTTGCCAGGTTGGATCTCAATCTGGGCGTGAATCTGTGACAAGGTTCGCAACTGAGGAACTCGACAGAGAATCGAGTTTGCTGCGGTTGAAGAACGATCTGAAAATCTCTGGGTAACTCGATAACAAGTCTAATATGGCTGGATCGAGTGATGCTGATCTTCGAGCACCGATTTTCAATGGAGAAAATTTTGATTTTTGGCAGATAAAGATGAAGACTATCTTCAGATCTCACGATCTGTGGGATATGGTTGAAACGAGGCATAATCCTTTGGCGAAGAAAGAAGAAGAAGAACTCACTGCAGCTGAGCTAAAGCATCTGAAGGAGAACATGATCAAGGATGCAAAGGCTCTCATAATTATTCAAGGAGTTGTGTCAGATGAAATTTTCCTAAGGATTGCCATTATGGAGACAACAAAAGAGGCCTGGGATATACTGAAGCAGGAATTTATTGGAGATAAACAGGTGAGATCCGTGAAACTTCAAAGCTTAAGGTGTGATTTTGAATATACTCGAATGGGTGAACATGAATCATTTTATGTGTATCTTGTGCGTTTGTTGGATCTCATTACACAAATGAAAAGTTATGGTGAGAGTATTGGAAATCAAAGAATAGTGCAGAAATTATTGATTAGTCTTCCTAGATCCTATGATAGTATTGTAGCTGTGATTGAGAATTCTCGGGATTTGGAGACAGTTGATGTGCAGGATGTAGTTGCTACTCTAAAAGGGTATGAACAAAGGATTGAGAAACACTCTGAAAATAACACTGAAAAGGCCTTTGCTAGTTTAAGTATAGCTCACAGGAAGAACAATTACAATGGCAATCAAAACTTCAAACCCACAAAGAACTGGCAGACAAAGGGTAAGAAATGGGATAACAAATCTGTGCACCATCAAGGAAAATTTACTGGGTCTTCTGATAGTGTTAAGAATGCTTGCAAGTACTGTGATAAACTTCATTTTGGAGAGTGTTGGTTCAAAGGGAAACCAAGATGCCGCAACTGTGATAAGCTAGGGCATTTTGCCAAGGATTGTAGATCTAAAAAGGTTACCCAACAGGCAAATTATGCTAATCAAGTGGAGAGCAATCCAACTATGTTCTATGTGTGTATGTCTGCTGCAGTGAAGAATGGAGAAGACGTTTGGTATGTTGATAGTGGCTGCAGTAATCACATGACAAGAAGAGAAGATTTACTGGAGAACATTGATAGAAGTGTTACTGCCAAAGTTGAGATGGGCACAGAGGAGTTGGTTAATGTAGTTGGAAAAAGAGAGTTAATGGTTGCAACTAAGCAAGGCAAAAGGTACATCAAGGAGATCATGTTAGTACCTGGTTTAAAGGAGAATTTATTGAGCGTGGGACAGATGATGGAGCATGGATATTACCTTGTGTTTGGGGGGATTGAAGTCAGAATTTATGAAGACTTTACATGCTTTAATCTGGTTGTCAAAATTCCTATGAAGGGAAATTGAAGCTTTCCTTTGAAGTTGCAACTAGGAATCCAAATTGCTATGAGGGCAAGTGTTAGACAAGCAGCTGAGATATGGCATAGAAGACTTGGGCATCTAAATATGAACGCTCGAATGCAACTCCAAGAGCATGACATGGTGACTGGTTTACCTGAGCTCAGAATGAACTCCACAGTATGTGAGGGATGTGCCATTGGAAAGCATTCTAGAGATGCTTTTCCTAAAGAAACAAACTGGAAAACTGCATTACCATTGGAGTTAATATATACTAATATATGTGGACCAATGCAAACACCTACTAAAGCTGGAAACAAGTATTTCATCACTTTCACAGATGATTGTACTAGAATGGGATAGGTCTATTTCATGAGGAACAAGTCTGAAGCATTTGGTATATTTAAAAGGTTCAAGGCAACTGTTGAATTACAAAGTGGATTCAAAGTGAAGAAATTAAGAAGTGACAGGGGATGGGAGTACATTTCTCTGGAATTTTCTCAGTACTATGAAGATCTTGGTCTAGAAAGACAACTCACAGTGGCCTATTCTCCTCAACAGAATGGTGTTGCCGAGAGAAGAAATAGCACCATTGTAGAGATGGCTAAATGCATGATGTTGGAGAAAGGCATTCCATTTGAGTTTTGGGCAGAAGCAGTTAACACTGTAGTCTACATTCTCAATAGATGTCATACCAAGACCTTGCATAAGAAGACTCCATTTGAAGCCTACAGTGGAAGAAAGCCTGGAGTAAAACACTTAAGAGTGTTTGGATCCCTATGTTATGCACATGTTCCATCATAGATGAGGCATAAACTAGATGCAACAAGTGTAATGTGCATATTCCTTGGTTATGGAACCTGTGAGAAGGGTTACAGGTTGTTCAATCCTAAAACTAACAAGATGGTTATTTCTAGAGATGTAATATTTGATGAGAACTCTTATTGGGATTGGAAATCTGGTAATAAGAAGACTATGTCAATCTCAATTCCCAGTGAAGCTTATGGAAGCGAAGAGAATGAGGTTGAAGCTGCTGAAAATGATGCAGTATTTGAATGCACATAATTACTATATGAGCAACATGAGCAAGTTATTGCTTCTCCTTCAAGACAAGAAGAGCAAATGGATCACACTGGTTCACAAGTGTATGATCATACTCTTCTAAGGTTCAAAAGCTTGAATGATATCTATGAAATGTGCAATTTCTGTGTGATAGAGCCTGAATGTTTTGAAGAAGCATCAGGAGATAAAGCTTGGAGAAAAGCTATGTCCACAGAGATTGAGATGATCGAAAACAATGACACATGGGAGTTGGTCAAAGGGCCATTTGATAAACCTGTAATTGGTGTAAAATGGGTCTACAAAACAAAGCTTAATCTGGATGGTTCAGTGCAGAAGAACAAGGCACGACTAGTGGCTAAGGGTTATTCTCAAAAGCCTAGAGTGGACTTCAACGAGACCTTTACACCTGTGGTAAGACTTGATAACATTAGAACTCTAATTGCATTGGCATCTCAAAAGGAATGGAAGTTGTTTCAATTAGATGTTAAGTCTGCATTCCTAAATGGTACACTGCATGAGGAAGTATATGTGGATCAACCACAGGGATTTGAAGTTCAAGGACAAGAAGACAAGGTTTACAAGTTGAAAAAGGCCTTATACGGTCTGAAACAAGCTCCCAGAGCTTGGTATGATGAGATAGACAATTATTTCAATCGATCCGGTTTTAAGAAAAGCCAAAGTGAAGCTACTCTGTATACAAAGTTCAGTGATGTAGGTGTGCTTATTGTATCTCTATATGTAGATGACATTATCTATACAGGGAATTCTGATGAAATGATTCAAGAATTTAATAAGGATATGATGAAGCAATATGAGATGTCAGATCTAGGACTATTACATCACTTTCTTGGTCTGGGCATAATTCAAACCGATAAGAGTATATTTATTCATCAGAAGAAATATGCCAAGTCACTACTTGAGAAATTTGGATTGAAAGATTGTAAAGCTGTGAAAACCCCACTTGCAATTGATGACAAGTTATCTAAGGAAGATGGGAGTGAAGATGCTGATGAAAGTTTGTACAGGACAATGGTTGGTAGTCTGTTATACCTGATAGCTACTAGACCCGATCTAATGTATGCATCTTGTTTGCTGGCAAGGTTCATGAATAAAACTACCAGAAAACATGGGGACAGCTAAAAGAGTCTTGAGATATGTACAAGGCACATTGGATTTTGGGATTGAATATGTGAAAGGAAAAGCTGTTGTGTTGATAGGCTACTGTGATAGTGATTGGGCAAGAAGCTTGGATGACATGAAAAGTACCTCAGGCTATGCATTTAGTTTAGGTTCATGAGTGTTTTCTTGGGCTTCTGTTAAACAATGCAGTGTGGCTTTATCTATTGCAGAAGCCGAGTATGTAAGTGCTGCAGAAGCTACAACACAAGCAATGTGGTTGAGGTTTGTTTTATCTGATTTTGAAGAAGAACAGGTGGAGGCTACACCTTTGCTATGTGACAATACTTCTGCCATAGCCATGTCTAAGAATCCAGTGTTTCATCATAAAACCAGGCATATTAATCGGAGGTATCATTTCATAAGAGATGCCATTCAAGATGGGACAATTGAACTACACTATTGCAGCACAGAAGAGCAATTGGCAGACATCTTTACCAAGGCTCTTCCTAAGGATCGATTCGAATACTTGAGAACTGCTCTTGGTGTGAAATTAGCAAAACATTTAGAAGGGAGTATTGGAGTATAAATGTATTTGCTGTGATAGTTACATTATAAGCAATGTGTAGGATTTAATGTGAACCGTTGGATCATATTCCAATTGGTATTTAGTTTAGAGTGTAATGAGTCATAGCTCATGACAAGTGTAAGTATCTTACATGATGACTTAGGAATGAATGGTTGTGATTGCTTTGTAATAGAGTGAGTGAAATTGTTCTCATTCCTCTAACTGTCATATAAGTTGTAAAAAGTTTTTATGAAAAAAGAGTTGAGATGGAATCGACACAGTACTAAGAAACATTTCTCTCCTTCTTCTTTGGTGTATTTTCACTGAGCTTTTAAACTTCCATTGAAACTAACACAGAAACCAAACTCTAATAGCATCAGCCACCCACGTGTCTCCTAATAACCCATCTATACGACCTTAATATCACAAGCCGTGTACACATGCATATTTTCATGCAAAGTAGATGAGCAGCACAAGCCTCAGCCTTCCACATCCAAGACAACGGTTGCTGCAACTAAGTACTCATCAACCTTGCAATGGTAGCACGACTCCATGCAGGCGATGAATGACATGATAATCTATATGGAATTTGTGAAGTCTTTCGTGCAGGACTTACTAAAGAATGACTTGAAAGCTTGTTCATTTGATAAATGGATGAAATGAAGTCGACCTACCTTATCGCTTTGGCAACTGCTGAAAGGTATCTCTTAAAGTAACTAACTCTCAGTTTGTCATCCAGCATTTCATGAAGTGGGGAGGTGTCATTATCTTCGTCATCCATACCTGTAATTTAAAAAAGAAATTAAAAGAATCATAATGTTGACTAAGTACAAACTCCTATAGTTTTCCAGACCAATAATCAAAAGAACTTTAATTCAATATATTTCACCTCAGTACATATTTCATTTATATAATGGGCAAATGCATTAAACCACAACTGAAATTCTAGATTCAATTTTGTTTTCCAAGTAAAGTCTCTCCAAGCATACCATTCTCAGTAACATATATTGGGGGATTATTGTATCTCTGCGCTTTGTAATTCAGAACCTTATGCATGCCCCAAGGAACAACATACAGCCATTCTGATGCTGCCCGCCAAGCAAAATATTTCAGTAGACTGGACAGTTAGTGGAATATGTCTGCAGGAGAGAGTTCATACCTTCTCACCAATAGCCTCACCCCCTTCCCATTCAACTGATGATAAAGAGAGAAAATTATATAAAGATCAAGAGAAAATTTGTTGTGAAAACCAATGACATAGTAGTTACAGTATTTTACCAATTTTCTCTATCCCTTGTGCTTTATAAAAATCACCCTTATCATGGTTATCTCTTCCATGTGCAATAAATCTCGATGCATAGTGATTCAGACCAATAAAGTCTACTGAGTTCTTAAGCAACTCCTTATCTTTCTCTGAAAATATGGGAAGCCGATCTCCAAGTCTTTCACGCATAACTTTGGGGTATTCCCCATGATATATTGGATCTAAGTACCTGCGTTTGGAATCAGCTGAGACGGATTCTAAACAATAGTGTAAGAGGAGAAAACCATTTAAATTCATCTAACGAACTGCCTGGCTTGGCAGCAAGCAGAGCTGGAGAAATTGCTAAAATCATCTGCACCCATTCAATGATGCGGCCCATATGCTGTTTATATGTCTCAGAGTAGGTTTTATATCTTATAAGGATTCAAATAGAATGCATCTTTCAATTAATATGGTTTCACCAGAAGGCAACAAGACAATTTGGTTGCATTTCAAGTAGATGGGAATACTCAATATAAACAGCACGATACATGAAAACTTATGGATCTGCTCAAAACTAAGATACAAACTTTGTATTTCTATGTTGTTTTGTCATTAATTACAGCCCTACTCTCACCAATTAAATAACTACACAATAACTACACTGAGATCAGTTACTCCTGCTAATTTACCATGAGGTTTTCCAATGTACTTTGACGGTATGGATGCTTTAATCGTGCACATTTAGTGTACTTGTGTGAATATTGAATGCACATTAAAATTGTTGAGAATGAGTGTCTGTATGAGGGCTCATGTGTGTGTGTGTGTGTGTGTGTGTGTGTGAGAGAGAGAGAGAGAGAGAGAGAGAGAGAGAGAGAGAGAGAGAGAGAGAGAGAGAGAGAGAGAGAGAGAAAGAGAAAGAGAGAGATCCATACATATTATCTGAAGTTACATAGTTAGTTAACAGTATTTTTTGTGACCAAACAGTTACATAATTTAGGGAACAAGTAATTACCACCCAAGCTGAAAATCTAGGCGCCTTGCTGCAGCAACTTTATCTTCAATTGTGTCTGAATTAGCCTCTGCCCATTCACAGTCTACGACCAAGCCAACTTGTCCCCCTTGCTTGTCCTGAAAGACAATAGTAGCAGCAAGAGTAAGAACAATATATAATATTTGGGTAGTGGAGTGGAGAAAGAAGATAAAAAAGGTCGTACCCAGTGCACAAGGCTCCCGCTTTACGCAGGGTCTGGGAGAGGTGAATGTCGGCTAGCCTTACCCCCATTTTATGGAGAGGCTGCTCCCAATTCCGTATGGGCTGCTTTGAGCGACGCAAGTCCTGTATGTGCCCATATTCAGAAATCTATATTATGTATCTTTAACCTTGACCGTCTTCCAATCAATTTCACATTCATTGCACTTTACGTGAAATCTGATTTTGAACCCAAATATTTAAGCACGGTTTATTAAGTTTACATTTTCCCATATGATGTCAGTTCTACTTAAAAACATATCCTAAATTATAAACGAATTATGTGAAATATTTCTGGATATCAGCTAAATGAGTTCTTTAGCTGACTACATGCACTCTCCCATATATGAAAGGAAAAACAAATAAAGGAAAAAACAAACAGAGAGAACACTAGTGTTAAGATTTGCTTGTTCACAGAATCACAATCTAATCTTACACAAGAAGGAAGCTATAAATTACTGAAATGCTGACTAATATATTACTTCCCTTGTTGAGTAAAACATCTTGCCTTTAATAAATAAAGTGATGAAGTCAACGGCAAATACCAGAAGCTCGGTCAGTGATAAAAAGAGTAACAAGGAGACAAGCAGACAAAGAAACAAACAGTAAACCTTATACTTGCTTCGGTATATGGAAACAGCAGCAGCATGTGCCAATAGTTGGTGGTGTGCAACCCAAAATGGTTCTGTTGACGTGCATTCATGCCTTCCAGGAGCAAATCTCCCAACACCATAACCGTTAATAGCAGTCTGATAAGGCTCATTAAAAGTGATCCAGTCCTTCACTCTATCGCCAAAGCTTGCAAAGCAGGTGTCTGCATAGACTGAGAAGTATTCTCTGCATTCACAAAATCTGACTACTCATATGATAGAATCTCACAGCACTAAATAACATATAGGCTATGAGGAAATTGTCTAACAATGACTTAAACACATACAAAAAATTACTATATTTGTTTCCTGAAAGTAACGGAAGTTTGTGCTGCATATCATTTTTTTTCCCCTGCCAATACTGATGCATGCAGACAAACTGCTGTATTGTAGATGATTTTAAGATTGCTAATAACCTGTATTCCCTAATAGAACATTTAATATTAGCCAGAAGACCCTTAATGCTCTTGCTACCCAGAGTTTCTGTTCCTCTTCTATAGAACTACCTTCTCTATTGAATTAGTCATTCTTTCTAATGGGTGCTCTATTAATCTTTGTTGGGTCTAGTAACCACCATAGCCCATGTCTCCTTTTTTATCTTCTACAGGTGCCACTTAACCTTCTCATATACGAGTTAGTTACTCTAAGCCACATTATCTCAATCTCTCTACCAATGATGGAGCGCAGATGGCACAAATTCTTCTCTTTTGGAGTTCTTTTGACTCACAATATTGTCGCCACCTCCACACCTGTATTTCTTCTTTTGTTGTAATTGTATTCTACGTATTCAGTTTTATATCTACTTATCTTAAGTATATTGCTTCTGAAGTTTCTCTCCGTAACTCTTTTTTATAGCATTCTTGCATCTTTAGTCTATTAAATCAAAAGAATATGCCAATAGTCTGACCATATATAAAGCTCATCCTGAATATCAGTTTGTCCATAAAGAAAGGGCCTCTGTGTTGATCCCTGATATAAGTCTACACTAAAAAAAAACTTGCTTTTCTCTCATGAAATTCTTCACAGAATAGTTGTACAAAAAGCAATTCGGGGTTGTCCAAGAGAATGAACAATGTACGGTTGGTCAAATAAAAGCAACACATATACCGATAGGCGGAAATATATTTTAGCTCACGTGCCTTGAGTTAAAATACATCCAAAAGGAAGAAAAGGGATGAACTTGCAACTTGGGTTCTTGCGGATCAATTCACAAAATTTTAAGCAGTTCTAAAAGCATTTGAAGTGCTTCTTGCAAGAAGCATTTTTAAGTGTTTTTCCAGGATTTACTTGCATTTTTACTAAAGATGAGGTTCAAGAACATTTTCACCAAAAGAACTTTCAACATTTTTAAAAGCACTTCCAAATAATTCCATAATTGTTGGAGCTTCTAGAATAATTCAGAGTTTGTCTGATTTTATTTAAAATGCTGGAGCTTCTAGATGTTTTAACACTGTTTTGCTAGGCTTTCTTTCGTTTTCCTAGGGCATATGGTCTTGTTTTTATCAGTCAATATAATTAGACTTTTAGAATTCCTATAAGTCTTTAATGTGAGTCATTAATTACTAGCCTTCCGGTGCTTGTGTAGCTCTATATAAGGGAAGCAGATTGTCTGCCTCTTGTTTGGGTGTCCTCCTCATCCCCTTTTATATTCTTATTGCTTTTTGTCTTATTATCTCTATAAAAAAAATTAATATAAAATATTGACGTAGCTTAACCGTGACCGCACAAAATATGAAAGGATAGGAAGGACACTCAAACAGGAGGGCAGACAATCTGCCTCCCTATATAAGACCCATTTTGTACTTATACAATTAGTCCATGAAGAATATTGTGTTTGCTTCAACATAAGTTATGCCCACATTCCCACAATTCAACCTCACCAAACACTAACTTTAGCCTGTTGTTGTGGACCTAAACAACCACATAAGACCCAATCCGAAACGTGCAGCATTCTTTGAGGAATCAAGCATCTTACAGTGGTTGTTTGTTACCTTGCCGGTGAATCTTTTTTGTATTTCTGGAATTGTGTGTTAACATTTGTGAGATATTTAATTTTCTTCCTAATTGTTATTTTAATTCCTATCTCAGCTTCATCATTTGCATCCTATAGTGCCTTGTACATATGAATTAAGAGTTAGGTAGTCCTATATTATAATTTAATGTTAGAATAATTCCTAACTCTTGCTATAGAGTCTAGTGTTTGTCTAACAGAAATGATTGCAGTTGTTCGTGGAAAGGCGTCATGCGATGTTAACGTATCTGTCTAAAATTCACAATGGAAGGATCTTACAGCACTCTGCAATTCGTTGGCACATGGACATAAACTTTTCTCTATTCCTTGCTTTCAATTTCAAGAGAAGAGTTGGAATGAATTGAGTAGATATCTTCACTTGTGCAATAATAAAACAAAATTGATATTTAAATGATGATATAGAACTTACACAATTTGCTTATTCAGCCACCCTCCCATATTCTCATGAAGGTACAAGGGTAGATCCCAATGGTACAGTGTTACGTCAATGAAGAAGGGATACGTCAAGAGAATGAAACATGGACATACGCTTCAAGAACTTTTTCAAGAACTTTTTCAAGTCCTTGTCTGAATTCTGCTTGGGGATATCCACTTAAAACATGTCATATTGTAATCTCCACATGTTTTCAAAACCTTAGATAGCTAAGGACACTTCTGCCACAACTATCTTAAGTTTTCCTAAGGAGCCAATTATAAATATTTTCGTCTAAACATCACCAAAACATTGTCCATTCATATTTGCCGAACTTGTGAAAGATCCATTCAATCTTGAAGTTATTATTGACCATTAATCTTGAAGATTTGATCAATAACATTTCAACTTAGCTCAAGCATCTATGCCGTTCAAATCACCTTCACTACCATATTTTAATGCAGAGATCACTTCCCAGAGGTAGGATGTCAAGAAGAGTCAAATGCGAAGGTAAATGCTAAAAAGGAAATGAAGGTGAGAAAGTAATTTTAAAACATAAAACCAGAGGACAGTGAATTGATAATATCCTGCGTTTTAGCACTAGAAAGAACTCTATAGATGGCAAAAGGTAGCATACCAGGGAAGATTCGAGACCATGATATGGAAAAACGATGAGCTTCAAATCCCAACTTGGCAATGAGTTCAACATCTTCCTGTTAGCATTAAATAGATTGTGAGTTGTGTTAAATGACTCAGATGAATTGAAATTTCAGACTTGCATAACTATCTGAACAGAATGAAGAACGGCAAGTGTAAGAATTTTATCATGTTCTTTTAAACCATTACGAAAAGAAAACGCTACTAACAGATGGGGCCAGAACTGACCACATTCTTCCCCTTCCTAAACCATCAACATAAATAGGGG